AACTGAGGTTACTATCTACTATAGTTACTTTAACAAACACCGAAATGACTGATATGAATATATCATCTCAGTCTAGAAGGAATTAGACTTTTTCAATTCCACAAATTGTCGTTGTTGGACTGGACTTTGTGCCTGGAGATAAAATGATAAGAATAAGTCTAACACAGTATACATATATAAGTCTAGAAGGAAATAGACTCTTTCAATTCCACAAATTGTCGTTGACTTGACTCTGTGCCTTGAGATACAAGGCACAATTCCACAAATCTTACACAAGATATATAAGATACAATGACATGAATAAATCTGCAATTCGAACTTTTTCAATTAAAAACATTCCGATGTTTATTTAAAACATTGAATTGTTTTCTTCTGTTTTAAATCTTTTGTAATACAAAAGTAGTTATATGTTTAAAGTCATTAGCTTCAGTGCACTATTCTGATTTTATAAATGATTAGAAATGTTAAAATGTATGTATAAAATATATACATACATATATATAACATATAACTTGTATATTTAAGTACACAAAAAGTATTTAATACATATATATGAGTTTTTGTATAATTTATATAATTACATCATTATATTATTTATATTATTTTTTTTATTACATAAATTGTTTATTTATTTTTTATTAAAATAATATACCATACTAATAATATTTGTATACTTGTATTACGTAGTTTAAAAAAAAAATAGAAAACTAACTAATTATATGTCGATATTTTAACATATTCGAAATTTTAAACTTCGTATACAAATCCTACGCATAAAAATCTCAACAAAAATGCATACTTCAAATGAATTGTATCTGAAAGTGTGTACAACTGCACACATAAAGCTTAGATTAATATCCAATTTCTATGCTCAGTAAACACAACGAACAGAGTACATACATATGGAAGCGGCTCTGTGTGTGGTCCGCAATCAACCCAAAAGTCAAACTAAACCAATTAAAATGTCCAACAGAACGAAAGGTAACAACTCAATAGATCGCTGTGAACAATCAACCGCCGCATGGATACATAGGGAATCCTATTGTTTACGGTAAAAATTCGTTACGACTACATAAAAGTGAAATATAAATTGAAAATTGAAAAATAAAAGATGAAAAGAAAAACGAAAAGAAAAAGATACACATTCAAATAATAATAGAAAGACTGCACGACTGCTCTACTTTGACATAATAAAATGGTAGGAATCGAAAAGACGGCTACATATTAAGATATACTAAATATTTTCTATATAAAAAGAAAAAAACCAAAACCAATGGTTTGAAGATACCGATAATTAAACATGAACATATAAAGCTCTATGTTTAATTCTTAAATAATTTAAATGAATGTATTGTTTCAATTTAAATTTGTTTATATAGTAATTTAATTATTTGACTTTTATTACTGACATCAAATAGAGGCCGAGATCTTATTTTGATTTGTCTCACCTTGGCGGTTACACCTGTTTAAAAAAAAATCATTAAAAATGATATTATAAAAAATAAATATTTTTAAAAATTAAATTAAAAAATTTAAAATAAAATTAATTATTAAATTAATTATTATTAAGTTAAATTAAAATGAATATAAAATTTTTTATGTTAAGAGGCTTTACTGAAAAAACTAATTAAAATTAAAACATTAAGTAATTATTATTGTATACTGAAGATGGACCGAAATATCTGTAATATAAATAATTTTGTATAAAAATTAAAATATAACTAAATATTTAACACAGATTTAATTTTTTATTTTATTTAAAGAAAAATATTTTTATAAATTAACACTTAATAACCGATCTGAGCCCACTAACAAATATAAAAACATAAAATAATAATATTTAGTAGTTTTGATTTAGTGTCGCTGGAGTTTCTTTTTTCAATAATATTATTTTTATTATTTATATAATTAAGAGTAAAATAAATAACTACATTGCTACAACAACTTTGATAACTTAATTTTGATTTATTTATTATAAAAATTAAATTAATTTGTAATAAATGTAGTTTTCTGTGAACTTGAAGATTACATTAAAAGCTATATTAAAAAAAAAAACTATAACAATAAAGAATAATAAAAGTACTTTGCAGAAAACTTAACATCCATATTTATACTTGCGGTTAGATACATACTATATATAACATAGATTACAACAAAATAAAATGTGAAAAATTTCATATAATTTTATAATCTAAATTTAAATTAACAATTTTCAGAAGACTGAATTATTTTCAAACAACATCTAAAAAAGACAAAATTTAACACAACGTTTCTTTTTAAATTCAATTCTTGAAAATTGCTTAATTCAACTTAGGCGCCGTGATATCTGGTAAATAAGCCTTGACAAATTATTCACAGGCCCTTTAAAATAATTTACAATTCATTTTATAATTCATTGTAGAATATAATTATAATTACAATTACAATTTACAATTAGTTTTATAATTCATTGTACTATGGATACATGAACGGTTGAGTGATTTCGGAAGTAAAACATAGACAGCCAACATCTAGCCTCCCCTCAAGAAATCGGCCGGTAAGCCTTGTCGTGGCGAATCTGTTAACACAAATTACCGACTACGCGCCGAGCAAAGACCGGCGTAATAAGTCCTCTGCCTGAAAATGCGAAACCCGAAGGTAGACTCTCATTTGCGCCTGGGCCAGTTTATCTGCAAAAATAGTTGAGAATTACAAATTAGCCTTTATAGGCATGAGCGAAGTTAGATGTAACGCATATGGGCATATTAGAACTCCAAAAAGTCACGTTATGTTTTGGTCAGGCATGCCAAACGAAAATGATTTACACCAATACGGAGGAGGAATACTAGTAAATGCAAAATTGTAGTATGTATATATAAAATAATTTTTAATGTAATATTATTAGTTCTTAAGATTCTAAAACTTATTGTTAAGCTTTAAAAAAAATCGATTCAATAAAAGCATTGTTAAATACAAAAAAAAAATTTTTTTTGAAATTGAAAAAATTTAATTTTAATAGTTTATTACTTATAACAATTGTAAGTTGAATTCAATGAAACTAAATCCAGAATTTTAGTCCTTAAAACAAAAAAACTTTAAATTCTTCTATTAAATGAGTTATTGAGTTATACAAAAAAATAACTGTAATATGATTAATATTTTAATTAATTCATTTTTGTATCTTATCGATTTGATTAACATGTTCTTCACTATTTTAATTATGTATAGGTAAAAGACCACTCACAAACATTCTCCTAAAAACGTAGATGATCATATATTCTCAATGAAAAGTTCATTAAAAAAAAGGTTATAGCGTTGCGTGGACCCAACTATTCACTAATAAATTGATTTACATCTTTTTTGATATTTATTATCATTCGAATTTTATTTTGGTCTTCGACTTGTATAATAACATTTCCGTTCTGTGGTAGGTCGTCGCTTTTAATTTCAGCATCAATGAGCCGTTAAAATTGGTATTCGTCGTTAAGTTTCTTACAACTTCGAATGATCTTTTTGTCATTAATTCAGCTTAGCTGAGTGAAAAAAAAAACTAACGAACAATGTCGTATATTTGAATGAAAACATCTTTTTCAGTTTTATTTTTTAAATTATGTTCTGGTTTACTAAATTTTTCATTGATTGAATAAATTTTATTATATTTAAGATTTATAAGTAAGAATTGTTAGTTCTTCGAGTTGTATACTCTGAGATAATGAACAATAGGTCTAAAAGGATCATTAGAAATAACAACCTAACCTAACTTAGATTGGTAATTATGCATATTTAGTATTTACAAAACACTTACAGAATCTTTTTTAATTTCAGTCACAAAAACAGATAATATTAAAGTAACCGTATCTATAGAAATTAATAAATCTTTATAAAAATAATTACACTTTTTAAAAGATTTTAACAAATTTATGTTTAAGTCATTAAAAAATATTATAACAGTGTATTTTTAAATATATGATTATAGTAAATATCTGTATAATGAATTGAGATTAGTGAAAATTGAAACAAATTATGATAAATAAGCTTACAAAATAAAGAGACGGTGACAGTCATATAGAACACTTGAAAAATATTTTAAACAATCGTTAATTAGCCAAAGTTATAAAGTCATACATTAAATATATTGAATTAAATTTATATAAGCATCGAAATACATTTTTTTCACTCAAGCACGCAGCCACTGGTGTCAGCTAACAGCACTAAAAAAGTGGATCATTAATTTCACAAAAATTATTTTTAATGTTCAAACTAACTCCAAAAATATCAACCAAAGTTCATTTGTTTAAAAAAAGGTATCAAATTTAAATTATTTTAAAGTGAAACATGGTAAAAAATTTGCTTTTTGAATAGAAAGGATAATAGGAAAAGACAATGAGTTCACTTCTAAACCCTAAGTAAGCTGCAAAGAAAGATCCTGTTGGCAATTACCATATTGAAGAAATAAAACGAGAAAATTTAACAGTTGATAGCTAGAGATTTTTGAAAAAATTAATATAATTAATCTTTTTTTTTTATTTTATTTACCAGTTTTAATCGTTTTTCGAAATATTGGGTGGCAAAGTTTAACTGCCTTAAATATTAAGTACTTCACTATAGAAAACTAGTGTCGTTCTCGATTATAATCAAGCAAAAACAACTATATATACATAATTTGCTGTAGTTTAAATTGTTATTTAGATTTTATCTGATTAGATTAGATTAGTATCTAAACAAGATAATTGCCGAAAATTGGTAAAAAAATTTACAAAGTAACACTTATGTTATACCAGTAAAGACTAGGGCTGTACGCATATTTATTTCTTTTGATTCCTGCAGGGAGCATATAAGCGAAACAAATAATTTACATTTAAGTGTATAAGTGGCGCCGATTGACTTCCTTCCTTTTTTAATAATCTTGGCTTAATG